TATCTTCCCAGGAGATCTTAATAGCGATTAGAGCAAGCCGGGAAGGAAGCTTTCACTGAATGTGAGAACCCAAGTTTTCTGATGGGGAACCATGGTCCAGAGGGCAATGCTGGGAGGTGTCGCAAACTAGGGAGGTAGGACCTGAGGACACACTGCAGGGAGTGCAGATCTCTTTACGGCACACGGTACAGCAGAGGAAAGTGTGACCAGGAACCTGGAGCATTTTTGGCAGCTCATTAGAAAGAAATGCTGTGACGCCTTTAGTCCCGTTGATCCCAAAGTGTTGCTGAGGCTGTGTGTGACGCAGGGTGGGGAAGGGAGAGAGTAAATCCTCAGATACTTTACAAGTGCTCAGAATTTAAAACAGCAAGGGATAGTTGAGTCCTTCTTTGCTTTTAGATTTTAATAAATTGAGCATACGAAGATCTAAGTTATTCCTGCCAGTATAGCATCTTGATGGTTAGAACAAATGTCTGATTCATTATAGGAGGCCTTTTCCTTCTTCCTCCTTTTCTTCCACAGTACTTTGTTTTCATTTTTCACCTACCCCCTCTTTCCACAGCTTGGGTCAAATGGAAATTCATGAAAACTGTACCTTTTCTGCTGGGTAGTTGTGGTGCTGCTTATATTGTGTGGTCATTAAATTGGTAGAATTCTGAGATCTAAAATGAAAGTTATTGCGCACTTAGTGAACAGACCCTTCCGATTTTCAGGGATAGTAGAAAACAGAAATAATAAAAAATTCTTGAAGCCTTCATTTTGACTTGAAAGCTTCAGTTATCAATATTAATAGGGTAACAACAACTACCTTTCCCAAGTGGAATTGATTTCTCTCATTCTCTGTTCCCAAAATGCATAGAATTTACTCTGGTTGGACGCACCCCATGTTAGAAAGGAATTAGCAGCTACTGTTGAGATCTCTCACATACCTGCATCTTTCTTGAGGCTCTCATCTCAGTTCCTTGTAGCCCAACACATGCTTGGAACTCAGTGAACATTACCATCAATGTTCGCTGACATGACAGTGAAGGGTTCAGGGTATGGAATACAGCATCCCGCTTCATGCAGGAGAAGCTCTAGGCCAGAGTCCAGTGAGTGTGCTACTTCTGATCAACCTGGGAAGAGCACTCTTGGGCAGCTTTCCCAGCATCTTCTTTAGCAACACAAGTCCAGAGGGGCAAGACTTGTGCCACGTCCTCCATAAAGTAAAGGGCACAGACAGGGTGCTTTTACCTGGGAGTCCTGAAAACTTCCTCATAATTTATGAGGCATAGCCCCGTTTGGATGATTTTATTTTATAGTGATTTAAAAAATGTTTCTACAAAACACTTTTAAGAAAGCAACTGTGTGACCTTTCCTTGGAAAGGTTAATGCCACTCCCTCTACCGTGGCTGGGATACTCTTGCCTAGGACATTTTAAGTTTAATGGGCATCTCTGCCCACCCTTGGCTTTTTGATTCCTGTCTTTTTCTCTCGACCCATCGGGGCTTTGACAGATTGGAGTTGTCAGTGTGCCTGTTCTATAGGAGATGCTGTCACAGTCCTTTCATGAGGGTCACGTGCCTGCACTTGTGTCTTTCAGTTACTTTTGCCCCTTTCTGCAAAAAGAAGCCAAGTGCTCTCCATTTTAACTTGGTTTTGGCCTAAGTAAGAGGAAAAACATCCAGACTTTCTTCTTTGATATCTGCAATCATAAAAAGCACACTAGGTAGCTTCAGGATGAGAAGGGCTTCATCCCGGGAGCACAGGTCACACGGGAATTTAGGGCCCCCTTTAAATACAGCCTCACGAAGTCCGCCTCGTTCAGACAGATGCACTTCTGCTTCTTTGAGGAGTTGACAGGTCTGTGCTACCTGGAATGCTCTATGCAAATGTTGTGACAGTGCCGTTTTCCCTTCCCACAGGCCATGTGAAGTGTTCACCCCGCCAGCCAACATTTCCTGACGTCCAGTGTTGCCCTTTTCTGCAGATGCCAATTCCAAGTTCCATTTAACCCGAAGGTCCTTGGCTCCTGGACGCGTGCTTCTGAGCGTTGACCGAGTGTTCTGCTGAAGGAGCGAAACACTGACTATCCAAAGAGAAAAGGATGTTTTGTTTGTGTAACAATCATATATTATTGTTTTCTTCTTCCCTTTCTATGCAACTGTAAATTAATGGACAGAGAGGTATTTGGAAATGGTAATTAACACATTTGTCACTGATTTGTATAATGTATACAGCATTGGGAAAGTGGGAGGGGGCTTTCTAATATCATTCTGTCTTTTTAATACCCAGGACAAAAACGGAATTAGACCACTTCACAGTTTTACATTCCTTCTGCTGCTCCTGTTAATCTTGTACAGTGACTTTATTTCTTTGACTCTTTCACCATTATGCTTGGTTATTTATAATTCACCAGCCACATGACCAAATAGATTCTGTATATTCATTCCCATGATTTGGCCAAATTGGAAAGTTCATGCATTTCAATCAAATACTATACACACACACACACACACACACACAAATATATGTATATGTAACAGCTCTGAGTATACTGATTAACTTTATTTGACATCATACACTTATTTCTTTAGTGATAACCCCAGTAAAAATCATGTGGGCCTAAAGGGCATGTCTACTCAGATTTTTCCCCCAGTTTTTATTTCTTTTTCTATGTAAGTAGGTCTCGATTTCTTTATTTATTTCACATCCCAGTCTATATGATAGAGTGCATTATAATAATCTCAAAGATCATTTTACCAGAGGTTGCCCATGTAAGCGTCTTTTTATTTTGACACAGAAACAAAAGTTGGCACAACTTTTCTATCCCCAGGGCTTTGATTTTTATCATAATGTACACAGCAGACCTTTACTTACCATGAGACATGAACGCATCATTGTCTTTAGTTCCTTTTGAAGAGAATTTTAGTGTTGTTTTTTATTTTCAAGTCCTGTATAATTCTTGTAACTCCTAGACGCTTTCTTTCTGAGAGCAGACACAAATTTAGTGCATGTCTCGTTTTACCTTTTGGAGGGATGAACAGGATGAACTTCCTGTCACTTGATCAGTATATTTGGGAAGGATGTTTTCCAAAAGCTTGTGCCAGAACTTCTTCTGAAGAGTGAAGTTAATGAAGTTCATGTCAGATGGGTGTATCCTTCCCTCATACCTCGGGTGCATTCAGTTTAGGTATATGGATTTTATTTAACATTTAACGGGTTCATTGAAAACATGTCACTTAATTACCAAATGTAGTGAAACCAAAAATAAAAATGAAAATAATGTGTTTTGATTCAAGCATATCTGCTTTTAAAACATCAGGACATTGTAACTTTGGGTTCTCTTTCACTGGGATTTGGCCAAGAAGGAGGCTTGAAGTTAGAAATTGTTATTCTTTTAGAATAGTTTGGGTGGGTTGGGGGGCAAGGGTGTCTATTTGCAGCATAGATATTTTGAGAAGAAGAAAAATGTTTTATATAAGAGGAAAGCCATGACTGACCACCTTTCTACCTCAAATCCATCTTCCTCCATCCTGTTGGAAACAGCTTTATGCCGCTATAGTCTGCAAAGTGTAGAGCTTTTATCAGGCCACACGATACCCAAGAAAGCACCTATTTAATGAAGAAAAAAAAATTCCCAGAACTCCGAAATCCAGGTTGTAGATTTGGTGTCTTCCTTGTTATTACTTTGAGAAGTCACGTGTTAATTTTTTCTGCCTGTATTTGTATGCAACATGTTCTCTATCTGCTATTACAGAAAAACTACATAAAACACTACATTGTAACCATCTAAATAATAATAAAATAAATATATTACAATAACAATGAAAAATAAATATATTGTTCTTTTGAAATATGTGGTAAAAAGCTAATCATAGAATATCATCTAATCTGGTTACATGTTGTATTTTTCATCCTGAATAAAAGTAATTTTAACACAAAATGACTTTGCTATTCTGCTGTATCCACTGATAGAATATCATCTTTGAAAGTATATTGATGAAATTATAAAGAGAGCCTGAACATGGTATTTTCTCTCATACTCACTGATCCATTCTCCTTTTGTTCTCATTGTCTCACTTTCTTCTCTTTTACACATGCATAATTCTTAATTTCCTTTTCAGATCAAACGTTTATTGATAGGAAAAAATGTTAGATGCTAAAATTATGTGCATAAAGCCTATTGAGCCATCATTTTCATAACTTGAATTTACTGGCATTTAGTTGGTTATGCTTTCGAATCCACACTTAGCCTTAGGCTCTCAGCATATGTGCTTTTTGTGTGTGTCCTGGAGTGTAACCATCATCAATTTCTAAAGCCATCCAATAGGAAACAGTGTCAAGAATCATGTTGATTCAAAAAGTTTTATGTGAAGTAGAAAAATCCCCTGAACTATAATTTGTTAATGTAAACCTGATACATTCTGATGCACTAACATTTAACCATCTTGACTCCAAGAAGTAATACTCACATTAAGAATTCCTAAGGAAACAGTTGGTTTCCAGCAACTTATTCTGTATATAGTTGAAAACGGAAGTGAGAACAAATGAAAAGGATTTTTTTTTTTCCTGCTGAGCCTTCAGTTGCTTACACACCATTGCAGCTTTTTTGGAGAATGTAGCTTTCCCTGTTGGACACCCTATCTCCCAAACACGTTCATCATTTCAGTAGACTAACTCTTCTAGACACCTTTCTAATTTCACTAGTTGAGAGCGTAATGAAAATGCAGTGAAACACCACGGACACCCTACTAAAACCTGTGAATATGGTCCAAGACTTCATTGACATATAAGGTCAGCTTGTGTTTATGTGCAGTTACGTGAGCAGAATGAGCCTGCTGTGGAGGCGGCCAGGAGACAGTCACAGGCACAGCATATCCAGTACCTGTGACATCAGCTGTCTGTCACCACATAATGTTACATGGCAGCTGTGAAGCCTCCAGAAGCAGCCTTGTTTAGCTCGAGAAGTGGGGGTTCAGCGGGCCCAGGAAGCACGCTTGTAATCTCAGCTGGACTTGCTCACGTTGGTGTGAGCCTTGGGTCACCGGAGGGCTCCCCTGATGGTGCTGAGTTTGCCCCCACACTGGGGATGACTGGCAGTTGGCTGATGTGGGATGGCAAACCCAGGGGCCCTGAGGAAGCTCAGCTGCATGCTTCCGAGCCTTGTAGACTTACCTGATGGTTGTCATCCACAAGCCCGCTCACGGAACAAGGTTTGTGAACTTGGACTGGGAGGGTAAGGCACGGAATCACAAGGCAGACTCTAGGGAGGTTTCTGGAAGGCTTCTTCTTTAATCAGGAAATGCATGGGCTTATATAAGGAATCATGGAGGAGGAGCATTTAACATTTGGCGCTATTGGAGGCACGGTGGAGTGATTTTTCCTGGGTGAGGCGAAGGAGTGACGGACTAGCGGCGGAGGTGTAGCCTGTTGGACCCAGCATCTATGCACTTGGGCGAGTTAGCTCAGCCTTAGCCAGGTCTCCGAGTTAGCTCAGGAGGTAGGAGTGCAGTGCACCTGTCCCAGCCAGGCTTGAACTTCTCACACACCTGGTATGCAGCAGTGTGGCACGTGGATGGAGGTTTTCACTAACAACCGAAGCAACAGCACTTAAGCCAAATTCTGTTGGCCAAAGAAAATTACTAAGTATGAAGCCTAAGTGTGAAGTACAAATTCCACCTCCAATGAGAGAAAATGCAAAGTCACAGAACAAAAAGTGTAAGGAAAGTGCATGGAAGGTAATGAACTGGGGCCAGTGGGTCTCGCTGTATAAACTTTGAGCAAAGTAAGGACTTCAAGGTGAAATCACTGAAGTGTCAATTTCCTTGGGCAACATACCAGTTCAATGAAAGGGAAAGGAAGTAGTCCCTTTATAGAAGTGTGTGTGTGTGTGTGTGTGTGTGCGTCCCAGGGACCGAACCCAGGACATTGTACTTGTGAGACTGGTGCAGTGACATTGAGCTAAATCCCTGGCCCAATGTAAGACCTTCTTTTAAAACAATGGTCAAACTGGGCTCCTCCAATCCAATTACAAAATAAAATAAAACAAAAACCAACCAGCCAACAAACAAAAACCCAGTATGAAAGCTTAGCATTTGTGTACCCTAAATCATAAGAAAATGAGATTTCAAGAAAGGAGAAAATCTAGATGAAAAATGGAGTAAAATTTTCTAGACACAGGAGAACATTTATTCTGACAATCGTTAAATAATTTTCGCTAGAAGAAGACAAAAAGACAGGCATGATAGTGGATATTTAGTAATTCCAGCTACTTTGGAGGCTGAAGTAGGAGAATTTCAAGTTCAAGGCCAGCCTGGACAACTTAGTGACATTCTGTCTCAGAATTAGAACATTTTTACAAGGATTAGAGTGAGGATCAGGTTAAAATCTGGTTGAGTGAGGAGCACCACACCCATCTCTCCTGAGAAAACTCCGAGGACTATTAGGACTGGAATAATCCACCCCCTCGGGTGTGTAGAGATCTGACCTTCGATAAACTGTTCCTCTCAAAAACCTCTAAAGTCCGGACTCCATTCACCTCGGGCCCTAAAGCATACGATCCAAAACCTAACACGTGTTAGGGGCCAATAACGGTGTGCCGGCCCCACACAGCTAATTTATTGGTAGTTGTTTTTTGTTTTGTTTTGTTTTTGGTACCAGGGATCAAACTCAGGACCTTGCTCTTGTGAGGCAGGTGGCAGCACCACAGAGCTAAATTCCCGGCCCTACTGGTAGTGTTTTTAGCTTTGCATGGTGGTAATTTGGAAACATAAATTGACAGTTTGTCCTCGGGCCCTTCTGACATTGAACTTGCAATGGTATTAACGTTCTTTGAAAAGACAGAACTAAAAGTCTATATATAGAGAGAGATGTAGAAAAGATTTATTACAAAAGAATGGCTCATAAAATTATGAAGCCAGAGAAATTCCCCCATTGGCTGGCTGCAAGTTGGAGGCCTTGCGGTTTAATTTCAGTTCAAACCCAAAGGCTGAGAACCCAGGGATCCAGTGGTATAAATTCCTATGTGAGTCTAAGAACCCTAGAACCAGAAGCCACAGCATCTCGAGGTAGGGGAAGGTGGATTTCCCAGCTGAAGCAGAAAGAGCAAGTCAGTACTTCCTCCTCCCTTTCCTTCCACTGCAGCACCCATGGGGCTGGGTAATTCTTAGCACCTGTGTGTTGGTGGTCTTTATTCAGTCGACCAATCCCAGTGCCAAACTCTTTCAAAAACACCCTCATAGACACAATCCAGAAACAGTATTTGACCAGCCTTGTGGGTAACCCTCCATTCAGACAAGTTGACACTTATAATTAACCGTCACAGTAGTTAAATGGGAAAAGTTCCCGGATTGCTATAGGATGTAATTACAATGTCTTCCTGATACTACTTTAAGAACATGTTTCAGAATTATTAATGTATTGATTTTAAAATTTTTACTCCAAGTCAATTATTTATTTTTCTTTTAGGTGAAATGACACTACTATTGGAAAGAATTAAGGTATTGTAGTGTAATTTTGACCAAGTGGATATCAAAATTCAGAATAGTCTTACTCTGTGAATCTCATGAGCTGTGTGTGTCCAGTGGGGAACCATGGATACTCACATGGGTGCTTGTGATGTCTAAATGCACACACATGTCCCACACCATACACATCACATCCTGTTCTCATCCTACCTCCACTTCATCAGGTTTATATCGTCCGTATGTGTAATCCAACAAAGCAAAACATATGGTGGACATAGTACGTCAGTGATAAATTATCAAAATCTAAAAGGTGAGAAAGTTTTGGGTTACCTGACTAGAGGATGTTACCCATGAATCAGCATTCTTCCTTACTTTGAAAATTAATGGCTATAATTGCTTTGAAAACAAAGTATCTGAGTGTCTTGTGTGTGCAAGATATTGCTCAAGTTGCCCAAAACAAAGTAAGGCGTTAGTTCCTGCCTAACCTAGTGGATAAACCCAGTGAAAAGCAAGTACTTGCAAAAACAGTTGGGAGCCAGAAGGAGGATTAGTAGATCCCTATAAGAGCACAGTGCACACCCTACACCCTCATAGGAGGTCTTTCTAAATATAGATACAGCTCAAGAAAAAAAAATCTGTAATTAACCACTACCTGAAGAATATTTTAACAGCTAACCCATGATGTCCCATATGCTTACTTGTATTATGCTGAGAGTACTAAGAAGACACCATAAGTTCACTAAAAATGTAATGGCTACAGGAGCATTTTCCCCAGTGAATGGACTCCCTGGATAAGTAATTTTAAGAAAATGCATGCTCTGGTGCCCTTTGGAGATTCATAATACATGTGAACTTATTAAAAGCTCTCAGAAATCCAAAGAAAAGAAATCTGCCTAAATGCACTTTACTTTGTATTTCTAAGTGTTTAATCAGAGAACTTTTTGTATCTTACCTATTAACATGCTGTCATGTACACTTGGGAAGATGAATTAATGTCATACGTTTTAATTTCCAAATATGTAAGTAGCAACCCTTGAAGATTATAAAAATGATAAGTGAATAATAAGGTAATTATCAGTATCAATTCAGAATTTTAAAAAGGATCAGTCTCCTTATATTACAAGCAACACATTTTAAAGATATGCTAAAGCATGAATAGAAATCAAAGAAAACAAAATGACAGATTGCCTTCAGCCTAACCTTGCTTTTAATTTTAAAAAAATTTATATTTCTAAAAAACAATTTATAATTCTAAAATTCATATGGCCTAGAGAAGCCATGTATATGAAGCATTGTTAACTAGGTATACAAAAATACATTGTAAATAGGTATTACAGAAATAATAGGAGTTAGCAATGGCTAGGGCATTCAAAAAATGTTTCCTAGGATCCCATTTGTTGTTTGTTCCTTCGCTTTAGTAATAGAATGTATTAGTCAGCTTTCTCAACTCTGGGACTCAATTTCTGACACCTTCAGCTTAAAGGAGGAGAGGTTTAGTCTGGTTCCTGGTTTCAGAAAATTCAGTCCATGGCCAGCTGATTGCAAGGCAGAAACAACACAGTCTAAGGTCACGGTGCAGCAAAGTTGTTCACTTCCTGGTGGCCAAAGGCAGAGCAGGGGAATGGAGCCAGAGAGAAAGGGGCCAGGGGCCAAGGTCATGCCTTCATCACCCACCCACACAGGCCCCAGAAATGTGCTTTACTAATCCCCTGGGCATTTCTTAAGCCAATCAAGTTGACACAATTAAGTTTAAATGTCACAGGGACTCCTAGATTTTGCTAACACTAAGTAGGAAATCATCCAATGAGAATGTGACTGCTGTGTATCCTGTACATAGCTTTTCTCCTTCTCTCTCATCTGAAAGATTCCTTTTTATAAAGGTCTGACTTTTGGCATACAGGTTAAAACTGCTTTCATTTCTCTTAAAAAGTAGTATTGTGCCTTAGGTGGTCCAAATTGTCTGAGATGTTTTATAATATCTATTTTTTATTGCATCTAGCAAAATATGACTGATTATTATACTTATTTCTCACACTCCAGTAATAACAAAAAGAGGAGTCCTAGACAGCAATCACTGGAAGTGTGCCTATCATTACAATCCTCCTAAGATTAATTACCGAGTACCAGTTCCCTTGAGGTTTAGCACATGTAGATCCAGCACTTAGGTGTAAGTCCTAAGCCGGGGCACTTAGGACAAAACCCGTGAACAAGGTAACCCCGAGTATATACAACTGCAATCGGCCTCACATCAAAGACTAATAAATTATTCAACTTATGTTTAACTCATCTTTGCAAGATTTAACAGAGCTGTTAGAGTAGTGACATTGTGGTTCTTATATCTCCTTCCTCAGAATTTCTTAGAGTTTAACATACTCTCTCCTAGTCCTACTGCCTATGAATCTTCACAGGCCATGCTTGCAAGGAGTCTCTGATATATAGTTCTGTTCATTCCCCACAAATACCACTAACATAATTGTTAATAAGGTAAAGCTTACTATCATTTAAAGTGATTTAAAAAAAAAAAAACAACACTACTTGGCCGTTTCTGTAGCATCTCTGACAAGAAAGGACGTGTTAGGACTCAAAAGGAAGACGACACAATGGTTGAGGGTTGGTAAGTGCAACAAGATGCACATCTAGAGACCAGTTTTGAAGAATCTTGGGCAATGCAGTTTGATGCTATCTGTTGAAGGGTTAAAGTTTGATGTTCATTGTACCAATGGTTTTTTTTTTCAGTTGTGATAACGTCACGATGATGAAGACAGAGCAATACCAAAACTACATCAATAAAGACAACTGATATGTGAAGCGCTGTAGTTGTTTTCAGTTCTCAGCCCAGATGAGGGAGTGACCACTAATACCTGTAGGCATTATCAAACTACATGTTTACAGCAATGTAATGTATCATCCTTGAGTGTCTTGGAGGGAAGGTCACTCTGGCTTCCATGAGGTCGATTTCTCATTCTTTTTGTTGAATGATCACTGGGCAGGGTGATAGTTACAGACTGTATGTAAAATTTTGGGAGTACAGAACTAAGCACTGAAACCCAGACAATTATTAAGAAAAGGATTATGATGAGGCCTTTCCTACTTTTCAGTCAGGAACAGCCTAAGCTACACAAGAGATTAGATCTGGACTTAGAATAAGGGATCAGAGTTACTAAGCAAAAGCTTACACATTGATAATTTATTTGTTTGAATCTCAGATCTCATTAGTAATATTACAGATCTAGAAGGATGTAATCAAAACATTTATTCACAGAACAGCACGTATTTCCCTTGAAATGCTCTTATTATATTTAAAGCTGTATTCTGAACCACTACTTGCTCAATTTCCTGAACCATTTAGGCCAAGGATCCTATCACTTGGGTAGTATTGTCTAGCTCTCCTGCCAGTACACAGCACATGGCATATATGATTCTTCCAAACCTTTAGAATTCTTGTAAAGTGTGGAATGAATTATCTTATGGAGAAAATAAAGTAACAAATTACTCTTCTTGAATAGTTACAGATCCCACATCAAGGCCCAATTTTTACACTTCTTATGTAACAATCAATACGACACTATTATTTAACAACCTCTTTGTATAGGAAAGAAAATTGATTGACCAATACCTACTCTGGATGATGTTGGGATTATTCTGAAAGAGAACATAAATTTACCAGTATAAAAAGTCCTCATCCAGGTAGGTAAAGATACAACACTCATCATTGGAGAACTAGCCAATGGTTCCTTTTTTGTCAAAATATTCCTATGGAACAACACTGTATCATTGTAAAACAATTTTGAACCATTACCATCCCACTTATCTATTTTGTCACTAGACAGGGAAATTTGTAGAATTGATATCTTGAGACATAGATCTAAGACAAGGAGGTTATTTGTCATATTTACAAAATCTGTCAAATTGAAACAACCTCCAAAGTCATCCTCTCTATTCCTGGTCCTAAGTTCTATTTCTGTGATGGTTCTACTACAAAACCTGGCTCCCATGAAAGGTCCTTTCAGTAGAGACAGGATCCAACTTTTCTAGGTATAGTGAGATAAAGCATTTATATTTCTAATGTTATATCCTTTTTATGGACTCAACTCAATTGTTTTATAGTTACTGATCTGGGAATGCCTTGAAAAACAAAGACTGTTAAGGAAAAAATTTACCTCTTTCGGATAAGTCATGTTCTAGGTAACGAGTTTTGACAAAATTTTATTTTCTTTTTTTTTTTGGATGCCTGATGTCCTTGCTGAGCTAAAATAGTGAACAGATAGATCAATCTTGGATGTCTCTTTATCCGCTGAACACAACAAAAGGTCAGCCACAATTGGGTAAGAATAAAATCATGGAGAAATTTAAAGTTCTTGGGGTTATAGCTGAAGAAAAATGACAAATAAGAGGGGGCTTCAGTTTTTTTCCTGATTTTTTTTTCCAGGAAGAACCAAGAACATATTGACTATTTTGATCTTAATGAAACAGTAAAACAAGAAGAACACAGATTTACTACTGTGAAATTGTAGTGTTAAGAGGTACCTAAAAGAAAGTAGTATAAGTGTGTGGTACTACAAAGGAGCAAGGAACAATTACTCTGATGTCTTGGGAAAAAAAGACACCTGTCCTCTGGGATTTTTACAGGGGTGATAGGAATGCTGTGAATAAGGGTGCAAGATATGATGAGCTCTTTCTTAGATTGTTGGTTATTGTCTTCGTCACTTTCCTATCCCTGAGACAAAATACCTGCTACCCACACCTGAAGGAAGATAAGTTTATTTGAGGCTCATAGTTTCAGGGAATTCAGTCCATGATTGGCAAGGAGAGCCCTGGCAGAGAAAAGCTGCTCATCTCTTGGAAGCCAGAAAGTAGAGAAGCGAGGACCCAGGACAAGAATGTTTCCTTCCAGTTCACGCCTGCAGTGACCTACCTGCCTCTTGTGCCTAGACCTTATATCCAAACAGCACAGTCAGCTATAAACTCATTAATGGACTAATCCACTAATGTGGGTGGGGCCCCATGATCCAGTTACCTTCCTAAAATGAGTTCCTCTGAACTCATGAAACTTTGGGAGGACATTTTAGATCTAAGTTATAACTTTTGGAGTCCCCCATTATTCTCTGGTTAAGAGAGTATTGTTCAGATTGAGTTGAAGTTTAGACAAAGCATTCACAACTGTGATAGGCTTAGTCCCCAATATACATACAACTTACATTAGTAGAATGTCCACACAAGTATGGTATCTCTTTTAGATCTATAATGTACACTTGAATGAGATACACAGACATAGGTAAGTCAATGTCCAAATTCACTATGCCATTATTATGAATAGAGAGGCCCTTGGGAGTTTCAAAAAAGGATATTTGATAAAGGGGCTTGGAACCTTTGCTTGTCCACTTTTTAAATAAGCTTTCCATTTATCCATCATAAAATAACAAGGCGAGACAAATAGTTGTGTTAATATTAAGGCAGTTTGCACCAAGAAAAAGATGTTTTGAATCTGATCAAATAACAGAATCTGATCAAAATGGATTCCTTATCTGTAAGAGTTAAATGTGCAGTGTAGAAACCTCACCTGGCAGCTTTTGCTGTGGTGGCAGAGCCAGCTTAATTTGCATTTCCTCAGAGTTCCTCCAGTTCCCTCCAAATACCTGTTTTCTGAGTAAAGGTTCTTGAGCCACTGCAACTATCTTGGTGTGAATTCTAATGTTGCCAGTTACGGTTTTCTTAAAACAAAACAAAATGCCAAGATATTCTATTAGTAAATTAATGAGAGTGCCTTTCTTGATAGTGTTTTATAGGAAGAGGAAAGAGAGGATCTATATGAGGGTTTTAGATCTTCTACAAAGTAGAGTTTCCGTGTAGAGGCTTAATTAGGACTGGATAAGGATCATGACTCGTAGACCTATCAAAGTGAAGGTTCTTGAGGTCACATTGCAAAAGTTCCTGAGAAATGAACAGATGTTTGACAGTATTACCAAAGAGTTTAACAACTTGGTATTCATTTAAATACTGGTTAGCGAAGTTCCCTGAATAAGCATTGGAGTTATTTGCAACGTCCACCTTTCTGAGCAAGAGATTCCTGGCTAGTAAAGGCATGTGGACAAAGACAGTGGAATGTGGGGCTGTGGATTTAGGTTCTGCTGTCTGCCTCGCAAGAGCAAGGTCCCAAGTTTGATCCCTTATACAAAAAAAAAAAAGTAGAATGTCAAAGCAATATTAGTAAAATCCTGTTAACATAGTAAGTTGTGCACACATGGATACTGAATATACGTTTATACACTCTATCTCAGTTGGAGTGTTGCATATACACAAAAGTAACTACCTTAGTTGACTGTACAAATAATGGTCATAGTACTTATGAAAATGGACTGTAAACTTAGAAATGCCAATTACAAATTGACCACCAACAATTAATAGGATGCAAATAGCACTTCACTTTAATTTCATCCTTTCTATCCTAAAATGTTCACTAAAAATCACAATTTTATTTCTATATTTTGAGCGCATAGATGCTTTATGTGAAGGGTTAAGGGATGGAATATGTGATTTATTTTGCAAGGGTGTGTGTGGTGAGGTGTTTATTTTTGCAGTTCAAACTGAAAACACAAGGCACATATTTTTTGGACTTACTTTTGGATGTAAAGACATGTAGCGTAGAGTGTAGGAGCAATGCTTTAATACATTTAGGGGAAAATCCCAGTAATCATTAACCAGTGAGATAACGGTTGTCAAATTTCATGAGGCAAAAATCTAGAATCAGTAAAGTAGAATCTTTACACCAAGATTAGATGGCCCTTGCCAGGCACAGTGGTGCAATTCTGTAATTCCAGCACTTGGAAGGCTGAAACAGGAGATTTATAGGGAGCTCACGGACAGCCTGGGCTACATTGTGAATTCAAGCCCAGCCTGAAGTATATAGCAAGACTTTGTCTCAAAAACAAAACCAAACCAAAAAATGACAAAAACTAAGATTAGATGATCGTCTGCAGCAAACTAGTCCATAAATTTAGGCTTAATTTCAACTATTGGTTCTCAAAATGTTGTTTTTGGCCCCTCAGTGTCAGTGCTACTGTAACTACAATACATTTCTTATGTATTGTATTTATGTATTTATGTGAATACATTTTTTTTGTTCCACTCCAGACCTGACTCAGAAACTTTGGTATTGGGCACATAATCTTACTTTAATTAGTTGTATTGGTAATTTGGGTAGAGGCTCGAGATTGAGAACTTTCTATGTTAAGAAGAATCAAATTGCACTAAAACACATCACCAAGCTTCTGAACATTTTGGGAACCAAAGATTGTAAACACTGAAGAAAACAATCTGAAAGATTACCTGTGCATGGGAGAATTTCTTTTATTTTAACAAATTAGAGTTACAAATGTTTTTAGAGATATCTAAAGGCAAAAAGTTACTACTGTTACGTATTTGAAAAATAATAAAATCATGACTCACAAACACAACATGAACATATTTTAAGCATTTATTTAACTCTTTAATAAGAGAATCGGTAAGATACTAAACACTGTATAGTAGAATTTGTCAGATTCTAGCGGAAGTAGTAAGATTAAGATTATTTGAAACTTTCAAGAGTATTTTAAAATAGTATTAGGTATAGAATTGTATATGTAATATAATTTTACCATTTTAATCATTTTAAGTGTATAGTTCAGCGGTAATAAAATACATTTACATCATTGTACAGCTCTCACTTCCATCCCTTAAAATGTTTTCATCATTACAAACTGAAAGTCCTAAATGGTGTAGCCATTAAACACAGACTCACCACCACTGCCTCTCCCAAGG